ATTAACTCTTTGTTCTCAAAGGTGCAGCAAAGAGAGCTACTCCATTTTCTGATACAAAATTTCTATCGTTTATTAGAACACCATTTCTAGTCCAAGAAAAAAATCCTTACAGAAGTGATATTTAACATCTAGACAGTCCAGCTATGCTTTGAACAGAGAATCTTATGGCTTCCTTTAAACACAAAAGCAAAGGGTACTCAAAGGAGTTCTGCACTCACATCCACAAATTGCACTCGTTACCTCAGCTGTACGCCATGCAGCACTTACCTGTGGAGAATTCCTGCTCGATGAATGCAGCTCACAGCTGATACAATTTGGAAGAGATACCAAAGCACCATCTATAAAGGTAGGAATAAAAGTCTTATGTGAGGCTTAAACAAAAACCCAGAAAAGACCTGTAAAATAAAAAAACCTTGACATCCCTGACACAGAGAGGCATTGCAAGAAGGCTTATTCCTCTCTCAGGAATATGAAAATGTATCATTACCAAACAGGATTTCCTGTTTCGGAAATCTGTGAATTTTCTAGTGCCATTAACAGTGCCAGTCCTGACAGGCAACACAGAATTCAATGAGTTAAAAGAATTAGCAAGGACAGTTAATGACAATATAGAAAAGATCTACAACTGAACTCCCTAGAATTTAACTGTGATCATTCAATATTCATCATGAGTCAGGAGGCCTTGAAATGCATTAAGTAAGAGAAATAAGTATAACCATCATCTCAACATGAGGTAGAAACAGCAGAATTTATGTTTTAAAGAAGGAGTCCACGGTGAGATAGCTTCAGAATAATTACTCAGAAAAGAACTTAGAAAATGGTTAAGACGCAAACTATGAAGAAAGATTTTGAAGTGAATTTTTAGCCAAGATGATGGGACAACAAAAGTCAACTGAGTGCATTCTTCCATTATTCCTCACTAAGAAGCTTATATTGTCTAGAGATACCCAAAAAGGAAAATAAAGTTTCTGATCGTGCATAAATGTCTGCAGTATTCAATAGAAGAGGAAGGATGTCAATCTCCAGATTTACAAAAAAAATTCCCATCAGTGATATGGAGGGAAAAAAAAAAAAAAAAAGTAGCATAAACACTCAGATCACCAGCCAAAGCTCCAGAACACAAATCTAGCCCCACTGCTCCCCGAAACCAGTCCAGATTACCTCTTCTTCAAACAACTTGTCCTTCTGACGCAGAATCTTATCGTAGAGGTTCCCTCCTGTAACAATGAGTGAGAAAGAGAGAGGATCAGCTTTGTTAATGACAGCAGTTACTCTGCTATCTTACTGCTGGGAGTGCTCAAATCCCACTAAAGACTGAGTGAATCACAGCAGCCCTCCCCATGCTCTCCACTGGTCAGGCACACACAGAATTAAATTTTTCCATCTAAGAACTTCCCTAGCTTCTTGGCATACATAAACATTTAACTGTACACCAAATTATGTGAGATTAAGTCTTATGTTTTCAGCAGAGTATATATATTTCTTAAAACAAACAACAAAACACCAAAAAAACCCACCAGCACTCTAAGGCACAGAAGTCTCTGAAAACACCAATTACTGCCTTTCCCCACTTAATCTGAGCTGCCCCTCCATCTGAGATGTCAAATACATTGATGAAGGATTCACAGGCTGTTGACAACAGCAGCACAACCAACAGGAGCCCAAAAGCAGCAAATACAGCCTCTCCAAGGCAACTCACACATTGAAAGGAGCGCTAGAAGAAATCAGGTGGAGTGCTGAGGGCAGTGAGACTCTCTGCCAGATTAGCATCTTACCAGTAAATACCAAATCTCTGACCATATCCTATTGCTATTCCATTTCCCAATTATTGTATCGTAAGTCCTAATTGTAACAGAACACCAGGCCCCGTTCTATACCCATGGGTGTAGTGCAAGACAGCTTCCTGCTGTTTGTTTTCTGAGTCTGTGCTGTTGTAGATGTCCACAAAAAAAAAAAAAAAAAAAAAGGCTGCTCTGTCTCCTTGAAGAGACAAGACTTCTGCAGTAGGGATATTCTGATATTCCAGTCAAGATTCCCTTTGCTTAATTTCCTCTCATTCTGTCACGCTACGATCTCTCACATTTCCTTTTCCAGCCTTATGTTCACATATGTAAATGATCCATGAGTGACTCTTCATGTTCACAATTTAACCAAAGTTGAACTGCCTCTTCTCACATGCCTTCTTCCTTGCAATTCAGACTACAGAGGTTTTTAGCATTTTCTGTTCCTCATTTCTGATATTTTTATCATCTTTTTTTGACAGTTTTTCTGTGCCAAAGTGCAGCCCACCAAGTACCACATCACTGAAATCCTGCACAAGGAGATAAGTAATTCTTGATTCAGATGATCAATAACTCCATGCCCACATACCAAAACAGAACTAAATTGCTTTTTTTTTTTTTTGTTTCATCTGATCCCATTTGACTTTTTGACTCTATTCTCTCTTCTATTTTCTCTCTTCTTATAGAATATTTCTTCCCATACCTGTTTCAGGTGTATTCAACGACATTATTTTCATGATAAAGCCAAATCTTACAGTACCACTGAACACAGACAGAACTTTGCACAGGTCAGTTTCCTCACTTGTACAATGGGGCTAATATTCACCAGATCTCCAGAAAAAGGGTGCTAATTAAACAGCGGAGACTTTGGATATTTAACTATGCTTTTTGTCTCAGCTCTAATTTTGGGTTCTGAGAAGTGCCCCACAGCAACAAGTCCAGCCTTACTTTAAGAATTACAAATTATCTTGTGCTTAATACTGTAACAAATACAAGTATACCAGTATAACAACCATCAGCAAACATCATACTCTTAGGTGTAAATGAGGTTCTCTCCTTTTCACACCCCTACTTCTGTGCCACCCATAGATATTCAGGTAAAGCAAGCCCATACTCATCTCCTTGTTACTGTCTCAGAGCAAAGCAAGAGTTTAGAATCACTGACATACGCTACAGACATCAGTACAACCCACTGTCTCTCCATAAACCTCTGATTAATTTGTAACGGCTCCAAGCTTGCAGACATTTTGGGCAGATAAGAGCTCTCAGAGTACTCCTAGAGCTAACTGTGCTTCAAGGAGCTCAGGTTTCCCTATTCTTGCACTGAACTCCACCAAGCATAATGAAAAGCAGTGAACTTGGAGAGACAAAACCAACTTTAACCAATATGCCAGCAAAACTGTTTGGCAGAAACGTTTTGTGCAGGTTTGCTGTCTTCCTCAGCCAAACCGGGGAAAAGCTCTTTGTCAAAGATGATGCCACAGTAAGTCTCTACCACCAAAATAAACCAAAGCTGATAACCCCTAAACACATAGAGGACAGGTAGCCAGGTGAGCTGTCCCACATAGGAAGCAGCCTGCAGCTCCAGTCAGTCTCCTGTTCTAGCAGTACCGGCCTCCATACTACCTCTAAGAGCAGTTGTAGCTCAGACACACATCTCAAATCCTTCCTCCTCTCCATCCCAGCCAGGGCTGTTTACCCTGCAAGCTGCAAATGCCCCCATCTGATCTACTCTTGGATGAAATTTTAAAGTTTTCTCCACCAACAGTGGGACTGTATTATTCTTTTTAACAGTAAACATAGCATCTGGCAGCACAAGGCAGGAAGAAGTCCTGATTGCAGCATGCCAATAGATTTTCAAGCTCTGACTTATAAACAGACTCCTTCATTTGGTGATTATGTGACTGAAAACAGCGCTACTCTGTACTGGCAGAGGGGCCCAAATATCCTCATACTCTTCTCCTCTTGTCCTCCTGCAAGAACAAAAGAAGGCAGGTTAGAAGCGCATACTATCAGTAAGCCACTTCTTCTGTTGCACCAGCTGCTCTCAACACTCAAGAATCTGCCCACTGAACTGTCTGCACAGACCACAGAAGGATTTTTAATCTCTTCTTCAGGAAGCAGCACAATCCATCTCTGTTCCTCTGCCCCCAGAGGACACCCCAGCAGTGCTCCCTGCGGGCTGTGTAGGACGGTAACTCAGCAATGCAGCCGCCCGCTTTGGTAAGAGGGAGGAGGGCTCTCACCATTACAGTACTCCAGCTCAATCAGCAACGTGGTGTTATCCATGAAGTGATTGTAGTACGCAATGATGTTCTCATGCTGCAACAGAGCAAGGATAACGATTTCATTCAAAGCATCGCGACGCTCTTTCTCTGACAGACGGGTCAGGTCCACCTCCTTCCACACCACGAGTGAGTCATCCTGAAACACAGAAACACCTTTGAATTAAATACACGTTACTCCGAAGAGAGCAACGTGCCTTTCTGGCAGGAAATTTAAAGTGTCGGGAAAGGCAGGCAGGCTTTCCCGCCGTGACAGATTTCAGACGAAGGTTCTCTGCACCACGGAGCTGCGTGTCCCCGGGAACGGCCGTTCCCCCGGCGGGGGGCACTAAGAAGAACAACGAGGCTTCCGGGGAGAAGACGCAAAGCGTGTTTCGTCTCAGCGGACTGCGCGCGCTCCGGTGCAATAAGGGGAGCGCCGCACACCCGCCCCCACACCCGCACGGTGCCGTACGAGAGCGGCGGCCCCTCGGAGCCCGCCGTGCGGCGGCGGCGCGGGCGCGGAGCTGCGCGACGCCCGGCGGCGAGAGGAGAACGCGGCGCGGGGGGCTCCCGGCCCGGCCTACCTCGGTGCGGCGGTACAGGGTGGCCTCTCCGAAGGCGCCGCGGCCCAGGATGCGGATGGGGATGTAGTGCAGCTCCTCCTGCTCGCCGGCCGGGCCGCCGCCGCCGCGGGAGCCGCCCCGGCCCGAGGACTCGCTGCCGAAGTCGGAGCTGATGGAGTCGCAGTGCCGCTCGTACTCGCCCAGCGACATGGCGGCGCGGCGCCGCGCGGCCCGGCCCGGCCGCTCCCTCAGCGAGGCCCCGCGCGTCCGACGGGCTCCATGTCGGCTCCCGCCGCCGACCCGGAACCGCTTCCTGCCGCCCGCCGACCTCGCGCTCCCGCCCCCGCCGGCCCGAGCGGGGAGCCGCTGGCTGAGCGTGGCCGCGGGGCGGTCCGGCCTTCCGGCGGAGCCCTGCCGGGCCGGGACGAACCTCCTTCCCGCGGGCCGGCGGCGCTCCGCTCCGGGTCGGGCCCGCTCCGCGCGGGGAGCAGCTGCGCGGCTCCGGGCCCGTCAGGCGGCTCCTGGATGGAGCGGTCGGTCTGCGTCCTTCGAAGCCGAGCCCCGAGGACCGCTTCCTCGGAAAGCTGTCGAGACACGTTTTGATAAACGCTCTGTGAAGTACCCGACCCGTGTCCAAAAGAAGGTCGCTATCAGTCACCAGCCTCGCTTTTTACTTACCTGCACCACACACGTAGCGCAGGCTTTTGAAAAAATAATTGTTCCTGGGAGAACTTGATGATAAACTGCATTGTATGCCGGGTTTAGACGGCTGCCCCGAAGATGAGGTGGCTGTGATGGACTCACGCCTCACACCACGAGTAACACCCGTCCCTCGCTGTGCCTCTCCTGAACTGTGGCATTTTTCTCTATCTGAGATGAAAAACTGAAATCTTCATAGGTAACACTATAAAGACAGAACTGCAGGAACTGCTCTGTTATAAGAAGGTATTGGCAACCTTCACCTTAAGTAAACGATCTGTTTTCTTTGTAGGTAACACACGTTGCCGTGATGCCGGTGTTTTGTTTTCAAAGCCCTACAAGCCACCACTAGAGATCAGAAGGCTGTTTCTTGATGAGAAAAAATCACTTTTGAATACCTGACCCTGCAGTCACAGGGGATTTCAGGAGCTGAGGGGTAAGTCCCTAAAACCAGGCACAACAGAGCAGGTTGGCTTCCATCTCATACCTTGGGGAAGGTTGTTATTGCTCAGTGTGAATCAAGCAGGGTGCACCTTACAAAGCTGTTCTGCATTTCCATTGCAAACTTTTATTTTAAAAATGAATAATTTGTCCACTAAAGTTTACCATTGCCATACAAATACTTTGTCCTTAGAAGTAGTAAAAACGGTACTGCAATTTTAGGGGGGAAAAAAAAGAACTTACACATGAAAAAGCTCAGACACATTCTGCTAAGTAGGATTCCGTCCTTGCGCTGCAAAGAGAGTACCTTTCTAAATGCAGTATGGACCAAAAATAATTATAATAATAAATAAAAACTAATACTCCAAAGTCTCATGGAATTGAGATTAAAGAGCCTTGAACAGCTGCTTGACACCAGAATACTGATTGAAAAAATCAACATTCCTTTTCTATATTTGAAAAGTACAGTTATCTTGTCCATTACCTGCAACCATGACACAGCTCCATAAAATCACCACAACAGTACCTACCACAGGTACAGCCACTGCACACACACTTCTGACTTTCCTATGCTTTAAAGGGCTGTGCAGTAAGACACACAGCAGGATGAATGTAAAGCATGCAACAGATATGGTTTGATTTTTGGGTGGTGCTGTGTGGAGCCGGGAGTCAGACTCAATGATGAGTCCCTTGCAGGTCACTTCCAACTCAAAATACGAACAAATGCTGCCCACAGAGATTCACTGGCATATGGATGAAGAGTAGGCACCCCATTTTAACTATTTCTTTATTTATTTTACTAAAGTACTGACTGAAAGAAACCACATGGTCTAGAGGTAACGTGCCATTCTGTCTCTTGCTGTCTCTGTCTCATTGTACAAAGATCAATTTGGACTCAGGTAGGTAGACTGCTATTTAAACTAAACCATAGTGAATGTGAGCCTTAGATCAAGGATGTCATTGAGGGGTTTCAGCTGTCAAGACAGTATGCTGTTTACATTACTAACATAGTAACATACTAACATAGGGAAAGTGCAGTCCACACAGAGAAGGAAGAAATGAAAAGTCATCCATGTGGTTAATTACAATTAAGACACCAACACAATGAGACCCCAGTTAGACAGATATGTAGCAGAATGAGCAACTAGTATGTGCTGTAGAGGTAAAGCTCTGCAGCAGACCAAACTGAAGTTGCAGTGCAATATAGCAGGAAAACTCAAAGAGGCCCTCTCCTCTGCATGCCTAATTTGTGTGGCAGATATGGGGATAGCATGCTGCAGAGAACCTGGAGAACAGATCGTGTGCTTAAAGGTAACTGGACCTCCTGGTGCAGCTTATGGAAAGATCACATCATGTAGTTGGTTTTTAAGCTCAGGGAAAACTACCTCAGGCATATTATGAAAGGAAAGGAATGTTATGAAAGGAAATAAGCAAGAGGAAACCACAGAAGTGAAACTGAGCTACGCAAGATTAGTTCTATCCCTGCGTTTTTTGAGGAAGTTATTCAATGTTTCACTGTAAAAATTGAAATAAAACAAGTCAAACCACTTGCAACATAAGGAGTAATTAACCGACAACATTTTGCAGACAGTTTGTCACTTCAGCTGCAGCTGAGACAGAGCTTCTAGCTCCTTCCATTGCAAACAACTTCCAGCTTAAAGCAAAACAGTTTGCAAAGCAAACACTGAACAAATGCAAAGAGTTTCTGTGTTGAGGCAAAAGCTTGGGTTCAACAGTTCCGAGGCTTACAGAAAGGTCCCAGAAATGTCAACGTGTATTTTTTTTCTAAATCTCCAAGGAAGGCAGGCCTCCCAGAGCCACTGCACCAGCACTGGTTGTTGTTTGGGGGTAGAAACGAAAAAAGAACAAGCAGATGGGCCTGATACAAATGTTTCAGGTGGGGTAAGGGAAGCAGACAACTGAACTGCAATGGACTTCACATGCCCAGCTTTTTTCAGCTCTAAGAAATGTACCCAGTTCAGATCTGTGCTCCCTCCTCCCCACCAAATTTTGTTTGACTTAAGCAAGTCAAACAAAGAGACTGTTCAATGCCGGCAAAGCTCTGACAGATTGCAGCAAGATAAGCACAGCAGAGGGCGCAGCTGAAGCGCTGAGACAAATTCATGTCATAGAATTGCAGCGGGTAAGAGAGGCCTCACTGCTTTCTCAGGATCTGTGCAGTAGGACCTTATGAAACACACGGGCAGGAATCCCTTATAGGCCTTGCCAACCGGTTGGCAGACCAGTTTGAGTCGGAAGCCCCTCAGCAGCTGCTCCACAGCTAAACACGCTGATCTTGCCAGTCAGGAGGCAGCACAGGTGTTGCACACTTGGGTTGTTTCTCATATCTCTGACCAACTTGCGAGAAATGAGCAGCAGAGTGTAAAACGTTCTCCTCCCACAGCACGCACACAGCAGCTACGCTGACAGAGCAGGCGGGGAACACGGCCTTATACCTTACTTAGGAATGCTCACGCGCTGTGTAAGTGGTGTGATAATTAAATTGTTAGTCACATTGACAAGTGGGTGGAAGAGGCTGAAAACCTCTGATGCAGTTTGCCACAGGCAATTACAGATTTACTAGCGATGCATCTGTCACACACAAAGATGGGCTTGGACCCAAGTATCTGCAATAGCTCAACTTTAACCCACTTCCCAGAAGTAAAATGGAATGAACGGGCTGCTCTGCATCCACAGCACAGCACAGACCCACCTCCAACCTACCGCATGCGAACAGCTGTACAATTTCACATAGTCAAGTATTCATCCAAGCAAGAACTTGTAGACATTAATCCTTATCCAAAGATCTGGGAATTTCCGCTCTAGAAATTCTGATATTACCACCTAGTTATGTAGAACTTACAAGGCCTCAGTTCTGCCATGTGACATCTCACTTGGTCACTGCACAACAAAAGGATCACTGGTTCAGCAGAGGTGATCTGACAGCAGAAGCAAGTAAATACCTAATCACTCCCTTCACTAAGCATCTGTCACTCACAAGGACTAAGCCACCTGCCTGACAATTTAAATTTTCCTCTTAAGCACAAAACTGACAGCAATTTGTCTTAACAAACCTGGGAACCGACAGTGAAAAGCTGAACCTTGTGTCCTATGGCGCCAGCCCTATTTCACTATCAGCCACGTGTGAAACAAATTGGCAGTCTTTAGACCTCTCCACATAGAGGGAAGATGATTAGGAAGAACAGAGGGGAAAAAAGGAAACAAAAAGTAACTTCTACTAGCAACACCTTTTGGAGTGACCAGCATTTGTTGTGTCAATCCCACTCCTAGGAGAAACCCATGCACCTGGCACCCCACCAGAATCTTTAGCTCTTAAATTCTTCAGAAATGAACTTTTGCTTGAGAAACCTGAAGGCATGCCAGGGGTCTGTGTTCCTTCTGCTTCCTGACAGCTCAGCCTCTAGGAAACAGGCAGTAGGGACATGCACAAAGGACAAGACACAAAGACAACTGAAGTGGATTTTTTTCCCCAAAGAAATTTTATTTGAGAAAAATCAAAAAAATTCCCCAACCAGTCATTACAAGGTCAATCCGTTTAAGTCCCCCACATCTGTTCCCCATAACCACACCAGCACAGTGAGGATCAACGTGCAGCACTACAGCGATGATACCGTAACAGTCGCCTGGGGAACTTAAGGCTTCACCACCATTTTTGAGAAAAAGGTATTTTTGTATTCTGATAAGGACGGGGAGTGGATGTCATAATAGACAAGACAAGGAAAGTCCCTTGCGTGGACTGTCTTTTCAACTTGTATAAAAACAAAAATCAAAAAACCTTAACAGATCTACAGGCTTCAAACTGTAAGACCTAAAGCTACCTTCAAATGACTTGTAATTCAGTCCTGTGGCATCACTGATGTTCTGCACTGTAACAGCTTTCAAAAGTGTACAAGGATAGCATGGATGCAAAGGGAGGGGAGTGGACTTGGATTCTTAATATGGCTTTATAAAAAAAAATAAAAATTAAAAGCAATATAAGCACTTGCCAGTAGAACAAACTACTCCAGGATCTCAGCAATGGCAAAGAAGTGACAAAGTACTAACTTATTTAGATGACTGTATGTCATCTGCATGTCACCTTTTCACCCTCTTTCCCATAGCTTCACCATGGACAACTGTTTCCCTCCTGGTAATAGATCAGATTCAAGTTAAAAATCATTAATGCTTTTTTTTTTTTTTTTTTTTTTTTTCTCTCTCTTTTTAAAACGTGGCAGGCTGGGCCCAGGGCTATGATAACCTTTTCCCATATCAGAAGGGTCGAGGCACCTGAGACGAGAAAGCTGTGTTGCCGAACCATTTGCTCTGAAGGAATGCAGAGAAGGCTTAAGAATTTTAATCACTGCCTAAAAACTGCAGCATGCGAGTCCAAGAAGTTAACCTGTTTTCCTCAGCTTGCTTATTCAACACAATTGCATCTGGACAGCTGAGAAACTATGAATGGCTGCTTGCTCTCACTGCAGTACCGCACAGAGTAACAGTCCGGTGGAGGGCACAGTTCAAACACCCCTCAGACATAGCATTAGCGCATTCCTACTCTGCACTGCTTTTCAAGTTCATTCATGTCCTTCCAACAACAACTCTGCCAACTTGCAAAGCAACCCCTGCATCCTCAGATCTCAAAATAGGGTATAGGCTTTTGTGCTGCACAACAGTGACAGCAGCCCACCTTGTTTTGATGTCTCAGAAAATGAGGTTCAGCCACCTGCCTGCTGAATAAATGTTATACTATTAGATGAGAAAAGTCTCACGCTCAATTTAAAATCAAGTTTCTTAGCATAACCTGTTCCAATTTGCTCTGTGACTGTATCTGAGGCCTCTTCTCTGCACAAAAGGTCACCAATGACCATGGCTTTCAGAGAAACTGCCGCATCATTTTGGAACAAGAGAGGCAAATCCAACACAAGCACATGGAATAAGGGGACCAAGGCTGGACAGCCAATTTAAGCAAAGCAGGCTTCTCCTTTCCAAGCTCAAACATATTACCAAACCCTCCTTCCAAGGCTCTCCCTTCCTCCACACTGAATCATCATATGCTTAAGTGCCTTGACCCATCAGCATAAAAACTCCAGCTCCCACAGGGAGAAACACTGAGGTCCACGACAGGGACCAAACCTTGGACCTTCCTCCAACCTCAGCCCCTGCTGGAATGATGAACCTATTGTCTTGCACTCACCTTTATTCACAGGAGGCTTAGATCTCAGCTGATCAGAACGGGGAATCCCCAGCACTGCCCGGTGCTAGCTGCACAGCACCTAATGCTGAATCAAGTGGCTCAGAGTAACATTACAGTCACAGACAGATGGGAGACATCGTCAAGCCAAGATTATAAGAGGAGAACAGACAGTGCAAGAGCTCACTGCAGCTGTCATAGAAAAATCATTTTTATTTAATCGCTGACCCAGGAATCCCCAAACCCACCACAAGCTCCCCAACCCTTAATATCCAACAGGATTTCTGAAGTTCCCAGTTGCTTCCAATGTTTATGCTCCCCTCCCCTTTTAGGGTTCAAGTTCCTGCAGAATAGCTCCAGTCAGTGGGTGTCATCTGTGAGATGGCTCTGGGAGGACATGGCTGGGTTCCAGCGGTGTCCAGCTGGGGCTGTGAAGAGGGGGAGGAGAACTTGTTCCTTTACTCAATCAGTTTCTTGGCCTTGAAGAAACGACGCAGGTAGAATACCTGCCAGGTGGCCAGTCCAATGAGACAACACATGGAGAAAATGCTGAAGTACAGAACCCGAGTGTTTGTTGATTCTGAAACACACAAAATACCATCACGTGGGAGTTTGACATAAAATGCTCCTTACGAGGGCAACGTTCCTAGGATTTTCCCTCCCCACCTCTGAAAAACTTCAAAGATAAGACATCAAATGACATAAAGGCACAGTTACACAAGCACCAGCACTTGAGAATAAATGCAGAGGGAAGAAGGTAAAATTATGGTTAAAGGGCAACACTAAATAGTACAGAATAGTTCACATTACAAACGAAGAAAAAAGTAAAAAAAAAAAAAAAGAAAAGCTTTCTAGAAGTGGGGCACAAAGGACCAAAGGACTAGGTGACTGCTTCAGAAGAAGAGAAATATCAGAGCACTTTCCCATACTAGAAACAGAACAGGCAGAGACCACTGTAACTGGTTGGTCTCCAAATGCTATCCTTGTCACACATTCAGTGGAAGTGAGGGTCTTAGAGCTCCAGCCCTCTAAAGGAACATGCTGTCTCTTACCATTCGTATCCCTCATTTCCTCTTCTCGTTTCTTCATATAGGCAAAGTCATTAACAATGGACTCTGAAAGATCCTCCAGGCGTCTCAATTCTACTTCTAGAGGCTTCAACTTCTCCACTTTAGCAATCTAAAAAACAAGATAGTCAGACAGTCACTAAGCCAAAAATGAGAACTCCCACATGAGCTTTTACTGCCAGTTTGAACCACTCCTTCTCACATACTCCAGATCTGGGGCATCTTTCCCCTTAGGGTAACAGCTCTGCGAGCCAGAAACTACCACTGCATAAAACACTATCACTTCTCCCACCTGTTCCTTAAAGCACACTTAGGTCTACCCCTCCCACTCAACGGAGAAGCACAGTACACATACATGCATATTTCTTCCTTATTCAGCCTGAAGTTAGTTTATTCACAGTTTGCTTTTGATGAGTGGGTAGAAGAGCCTGCCACATGGCTAAGCCTCTAGTGAGCAGAAGACACAGACCAAGATACAAGTGACTGTCACTTGCACACATGTGCAGTACAGTTATACATGCACGCTGCATATCAGCACTGAGACTCACACGTTCACATGGCTAAACGTTGCCATGTGTCCCAGAAAGTCAGGGCAGCCTGACTCCTGACAGCAGTGGTTTGATTACATCCACAGCACTCAGGGCTTCTGTAGTTTATACTGTTAACCTCAAGGCCAGCAGAGCAGAGCCACTCTGAGCAGAGATCATGCAGCCACACTGTACTCCACCAGATGACGCTGTTAGAATACGTATGAGATGGGTTCCATTCAAGCCAGCTAAAAAAATTAAAAAGCTTCCCCTCATAAAAGCTGGTTTTATGGGACATCATTTTTGTGCAGATCATGCAACCTGCAAGTTACAGACTTGTATCTAAGAGAAAAATCAACAGAAAATTCAATTAGCACAGTCTACAACAGTAACTATTTGAAGTTGAATGTATAAGCTCAATTTTGTCCCAGTCGTGGCCATCACCTGACTAAACCTTAGGTAAAGTTGGTGACACAAGCACAGCACAAAGGGAAGCTAACTGCAGATCCTGCCACTATTACAATGTATGTTTTGGATAACACTGGTTTTTTGTGTAGAATTTGTCACTACTTATGAATGCCCCCACCAGGAACGACAGAGACCATGTCATAACATCACACAGTGCAAGAAAGACACGCTACAGAAAATGAATGGTGCACGTTTGGGTCGGACTGGCTCTGAAGCACTGGTCTCACCACTGTGACTCAGAAATGAGGCCAGGATGGCATCTCTCAGTGGTCCAGACACTCTCAGGCAGACAATAGATGGCGCTCGGGGAGCAGGCATCCCAAAACGTTGCTGCTGGAAACAGTCCCAGGCTTCAGAACTGATCTGAAGAGACACTCACGACCAGGACACTGCTAGCTAATCAAACACTTCACTGAAGGGTCTTCACGTGACACACGGAACTTGGGAAGCAGCAGACCCTCAAGCAGTCATCTGAGTATTTTTATGCTGAGGTGAGCTGTGTATTACAGTTCTGCCAACACAGCAGAATCAATTTGGAGTGCACGGATGAGGAGGTAGTAGGAAATGGTAGGTTAAAATCCTTCTAATCCTCCTGTCTTCAAGTCAAGAGGCTGTACAGATAAAACTCCGGGGCCTGGATTCATACCTGTTAGCAGAGCTTTGCTAAAGAACCGGCACTAGCGGAAATATGGCCTGCACTCTGCTGACACAGCTATAGCAGCAGGTCTGCAGCATGCACAAGGCCTCAGAGGCATCCCTGCAGACAAAGTCATGAGCAGACTGGCTCCATTATCCTCCCGGGTGGTGCTCTTTCATATTCACAGAAGGCTAGAAAGGTCCACTGGGAGAAACTTGGGCTTGCATGCTCCAGCCTGCACTCCTTTCAGCTACTCTTAATATGTATAGGTAGAACCACTGGATAGCTAATTTCAGTACTCTCAGATACAAACTTTCTTGTCTCTAGTGCAGTCAATGTGCACAGCTGCTCCAAGAGTTTGTAAGAAGCCCCCCAGGCCTCGTGACAGTGAAACACCATCCTGGAAGGCACAAGAACATCAGGCCAGCATAACAACTGAGGCAACAATGCCACTGAGCTTCTCAGTGGGGCCTCTTATGCAAAGCCTAACTCTGTAGCATAGAGACCATAGGCAAGAATCAGCAACAAGTTGCAGTCCTGCAAAGGAACCTCAATCCCCAAGCCTTCCTGGTGTTCTCTGAAGAGACCTTTCACTTTTTCCTACCCTCATTTCTACATACTGAATGGAGAAAACCATGTTTCCCTACTTCAGACAACTAAGGTCTGGCACTGCCATGCAGCAGGTCATTAAGATTTCCTAACCTGAACATCACCAATTTGCTTTGCCCCAAGAGTATCTGCAGCTATGAAAGCTTATGAAGCCAGACTGAGATGCTATCCCTTCTCCCACTGCCTATGTCCACGCACACGCAGGTCAGCATCACTGACCTTCAATCAACACTCTTCATCAACTCTTCTTGTAGCAGTTCAGCAAAAGGAACTGAATTTGGAGGGCAGATCACTGATGCATTACAGGACACAAACATCATAAGCAAGAGGCCCAAAAAAGACAGCAATTCCAGGAGAGAACTCTGGGCAACAGTCCTCCCCAAGACCTTGCAACAACCCGTCAAGTTAAAAAGCATGGACACTACAGCAGCCTGGGGCAGAGGATAAGAAAAACACACGGCAAAACAGTGTGATTGAACATTGGTAGCAATTATACAAACACTAGATGAGTCTGAGTCCCTTGCAGATACCCTGCTCAACAAGGCTTGGGACAGTCTGTCACCCAAAGGTCCTCAGAAATCAAGAATGCTTGCTAGCAGTGTCTAGACCTGCAATCAAATGGGAGTGCAAGTCTAAATTCTTCTTTTCCCATGTTTGTCCCTGGACCTTTACCTTTGGTATAATTACACTGGAAACAAGTGTAATGCGTACTTCATACTTGCTTTTATGCAAAGTTTTATCAGTATAATCAATAAGTTCTACTAAGTTGTACCAAAGAGAACCTTTCTGTTGGAACAGTGCTTCTAGGTAACACTCCTCTTCCTTAATGAGGATTACCCTAATGTACCTCAAGAGGTACCATACTCTTGAGTTACTTGATGTAACTCAAGAGTATGCTGCAGGGATTATTTAAAGAGATTCTGTAAATGCAGTCACCAAAATCTTCCCAGTTAAACTCTCAGGGGTCACCCTGTAAGATTTCAACATCCTGTAATACTTCAACAGCTGGTTCAGCCAGGCAGCTGGCCCAATGATTGCTTTGCTCTTTCCTGACCCCAAGCAATTTTTATTCTTCATGTAGGAGGGCTCCAGCCAGGGATGAACAGCTTCTCCAAAACACAAAAGTATATAAAAACTCCTGCCCAACCAGGAGAAATTCATTAGTTTTCTAATTGTTCCTATATGCAGTGTCCTTTGCTACCAGTTTTCTCTTCTCAGACATCTCCCAGTCTATTTTAAGCAGTGAGCATAGCAAACATTTGCAGGAACTTTTCTCCA